TTTTTTTTTTATTTTCCCTTTTCTTGCTTTTCACGTTATCTTTCTCTGGAACCCTTTCTCGGTTGATTACCTCGGCTGTTTCCTGGTGGCCGCAAAAAATGCCCTAAACTGTGCAGAGAATCGCGTGAGATCAACGGGAAAGGTGAAAGAGGTATTTAGCAAAATGTCGGCTCTCTGTGCGTAACGAGAGTGTGGCACGAATCCCCGTGGAGGGTCGCTCGTATCAGTGGGAATAAATGGAGATAACGGTTCCGCGGAGTGCTGTATAGCGGCTGATCATCTAGGCCAAAGATCCACCGGAGGGTCGTGCCTACTGTACGTACATGGACACTATGGAGAAATCATAGAGAGGATCCAAGTAATTTCCCCCCCCCCCCCGGAGATGAATTGCGTGTTGCCTGATCTCAATTTTAAGGAGCGCTCAAACTTAAGAACGAACGGTTTAGCATACTCCGTAAATCCATTTCTAATTGCGGGGTTGTGGTTCCAAAGTTTCACAAAGGCTAGATCCTTTCGCCACGAGCCGATTACAACCCGTGGGGTTGGTTGCATAGTACTCGACGGCATTCCACTGCAGCACATGGCATGTCCTTCTAGAACGTCAAGGATGATTTACTTATCCCACTAAATCAACACCGCTAAATGCGCAGTAGTAATGAAGACACTTGGCCGACGTACGCTGCGCAATCAATACAATGCAGCTGGTTATCTCTATATCGGCAAAGTCCAAAGCAAGCAGCACAGAAGTAACAGACACTGGGTAATATAATCACAAGTAACAAGCATCTCGCCAAGAGCAATCAGTCGTCAAAGGTGTACCGAAGCCACTCGCCCACTGCTCGCAGACTCTCCCAACGTACCGACTCGTCCTTGTCGGCCATCAGCTCCATAACTCGCGCCTTCAACCCGAGCTTTTCCAGCTGTGCTCGTCGTCCGGGCAGCTCCTTCACCAGATGTCCCACATCGTTGCAGGCAATCGCGAGAACCTGCTTGTCATTGTCCCACTCCTTAGAGATAATCTCTGCTAGCTTCTTGGGAAGGTTAGCATCATCCAGGATGCGCCGAGCATTGTCTTTCCAAAACGTAGGGTTACGGTGGGGTGGGGACCAGCGGAGGTGTCCTGACTGCAACTCCGCCGCGTACTGATCAAACGTAGTTTGAGTTTTAGTGTACTCGTCGAGCATGTCCGAGAGAGTCTTCAGATCCTCAAGAAGATCGGGGTCGGTCAAATGACGGCCCGAGAGGTTCGAAAGAAGGGCAGGGAGGCGGACAAACACAGCGACCGGCAATAGGGTTGTACGGTTGGAAGAAAGGAGGTTGTTGAGAGTTGCAAGAAGAAGTCGTGTTGTCTTCTCCTTCGGCGAGAGGCGCAGGAGGTAAGTATACAACTGAAGGAATTCGTGGTCCCTGCGGACGTTAGCAAAGCTCAATCAGGGTGCAATATATTTGACCAGGCGGAGAGTACGTACGCCTGAAGGTCATCCCCGATTAGCGCGCCTTCGAAGCTCAGTTGCCAAATAACAAGAAGGACTCGATACAGAAGTTGAAGTCCAACACCGCCAGAGAGGCCTGGCTCGATCGCCCGCGAACTGCCAGCCACGGTGCTGGAATTGGTATCTTTGCCTCCGGTCGCCGCACGTAGAATGTCGATCAAAGGGTTCACCGTTTCCCCCCTCTGCTTCCAGAAGATTTCCCGAGACCTAGATGTACGAAGCAACGCCGACAACTCTTGGACACCGATGTCTTGCAACCCACTGTCCTGGTTTTGGGTCAGACTGGAGAGGTACGTGTACAGTTGTGGAAGTGCCTCTTCATCTCGGGCCGCAGACTTAGACGAAGACGCGAGGCTGATAGAGACAAGGTTTGTCAGGAAGGTAGAAGTGAGCAGCGGAATAGGGTCATCAGCATTCGTAGAATGACGCAAGAGGGGGAGAAATGGCTTGTAGGGATCGGGATGCGCGATTAGGGCAGACGAGAGCGCTGGAACGTCTACATTGCCGAGTAATCGGGTCAGCATGACTTCTATACTTTTGCGCGCACTTTGGAACCAAAGGTATACTCACCATTGATCAAGTCCGCTGCCAGCACAAGGATATACTGCACGATATCGGTCCTCCTGGAAGCGGAGTCCAGAACGCTCTTGGCGTCGGCACTTCCAGAGAGCAGGCTTACATAGCCAGAGATATCGCCCTCTACAGTCTGGCGTCGCTGGTCTTTGCGAACTTTGTCCACTGCCTTGATCTTTTTCAAGTGATCATCGGTGATGTTACCAGCTCGAACTGCTCCCTCCCACGGGATGGGCCGAGCTCGGATGTTGTTCTGGATAGAGCTGAGGTACATGGGAGGCTCCAAAGACATGGTCGACATAGTTCCGGTATTGCAGGGTAGAAATGGAGCCTACCCGGAACAGCGAGAGGCGAAGAAAACCGGGATGGGTGGGAGGGGTGATTGAGGATGAAGAGAGGGCTGGAATCTATGATGATGGAGTGTTACGAATGAAGGAAAGCTCCGGTGTTCACGTTGTTCCCCATCCTACCGCCAAGACCCATACTAAGCCCCATTCAATCAGTAATCTCTCCAACCTTCTCGTCCACGCAAGCCAGACACCCAGCGTTCGTATTCCTGCTACGTGGTTGCACTTGTCCTTGTCTGTTTCATGTCTCTTGATATCTTCTAGTCTAGTCTCTAGTCTCTCGTTTTGTTTCGTTTCCAACCCCTCGTTCCTTATACGTATAACTCCAAACCACCCCCCACGCTCATTTCCCCGCAGGAAAGTCAGGAATCATCGATCTGCCTAGTGCCACTTACTTTACAGTGCGTCTGTGACGGCAGGCATTGTCAAAGACCGCCGCCTTTCATGCCAGAGAGCCAGTCGGACGTGCTGCTAGAAGTAGCTAGTTCATGCCTCTAATTAAGACACCTCCGATCGCATTACAATAATGTCGCAACAAAAATGGAAGGTTGGATCCTTTCTGCAGCAAGCTGTCGCTGGCGTTGAATCGAAACTGGATATGATCTTGGCCGATGAGGAGCAGCGACAACAAGTACAGCCAAAATCAAGTACGGCGACGAAGAGTCAGACTGGTAGTATGGCTTTCCCAAATTGATTTAGCTCATTATATTTCGTCGCATACTAACGGGTCTAGATCTTTCGCGAAGTTCATCAAATGCGCGGAAAAATGATCGCCTTCAGGAGCGTCTGGCTCGCGCTGTTGTCAAATCCAATATCAATACCAATCCCGCTTCCCAATCCTCGAGTCGAGTCCCCTCTCCCGTCACCAGTCCGGTCCCGAGTAATGGCGCGCGGTCGAGCATGGATATTGAATCGAGCCTTGGACGTAGCAGCCTAAATCTCGAAGAAAGTGCCCAAAGCGTCACTCCTGCCGATGAATCTTCGTCAATAGCAGCCTCCAGAACAAGCCATGACAGCGGCTCACCACGGAACTCGAAAGATATTGTCACCTCGCGCGCATCGACTGAGGATTCCGAATCGCAAGAGGCTAACTCAGAGAAGAGCACCGAAGTTGTACAAGAAAATGGCGTTGAACCTAAGCTACAGGAAACCGAAGCTGACAACCCACGCTCATCTGAGGATCTTGCCCAGGACACTGCGAATGGTTCGAGTGATATCATCGAGCCTGCCTTCAACGATGTGGACAAGACTATCGCACAGTTACAGGCAGAACACAAGGCAGCCGAGTCACGCTGGCAAGCGGAAATGTACGAACATATTGAGCGAATTGACGCATTGCAATCGAAGTTGAAGTACTTGACCAAGGAAGCTGCCGAGTCCGCCAAGAAAGCGGCGGCGGCGGAAGCACCTGGAAGTATGGAGAGACAACTCCGGGAGAAGGACGAGAAGATCGCACTATTATTCGAAGAAGGACAGAAACTTTCGAAATCTGAGATGGACCACCGTACGGTGATCAAGAAACTTCGGCAGCAATTGGCGGAGAATTCGAAGGTTCAAACTGAAAATCACAGGAAAACAGAAAAACTGGCAAGAGATCTGGGCAACGCTGAGGCCAGGGCTAAGCGGGCTGAAGCTGCCGAAAAACGAGCCAATGAATCATTGACGTCTCAGTCAAAAAACTCGCGAGATCTTGAAGCAGTTACAGCGGAGCGAGATGCATTGAGCCAAACAGTTCAGGAAATGAAAGGTCAACTTGCCAGAGCAGTTGCGCGAGCCGAGGCAGCTGAGGCCAAAGCTCAGTCTGATGCGCTGGAGCAGGAAAAGCGCCATGCAGCCAAGTTGGAAGAAGAGCTGGCAAGCATCAAGGCCGAGCGTGATGAAAGTGAGGAAAGCTTGAAGACAGAGATACGCGATCTTAAGAGTACCATCGAGCAAGAGAAGGAAAGGGCACGAGTACTGGAGGTCGAATTAAAGAACGAGCAATCTGTGTTGGAGAGCAAGATGGAGTCTCTTCGCTCTAGAGCGGAAGAAGCTTCATCCGGGGTAGCTGGCGATGCCCAAGCAAAGCTTCTACGCCAGATCGAGACATTGCAGACGCAGTACGCTGTTGCTAGTGAAAATTGGCAGGCGTTGGAAGGTTCATTACTTGCGCGCTTAGCCAACGTAGAGAAAGAACGAGACGAAGCCACACGCCGAGAGGGAGACTTGCGGCGGAGAGTTCGGGAAGTGGTATGAATGATTTGTCCCAACTCCATTCTTTTTTCTTGACCAAATAGAGACTAATCTATGTGTGCAGAATCTCAAAGCTAAAAGGGCCGAGGAGGACCTCGAGGACGCAAAAGAGGTCGAGCATGATCTTGAAAGCAAACTCGAGGAACGCTTGCAGGAGCTGCAAAAACTGGAGCAGAAACTTCAAAAAGCTGCGGACGATTTAGTCTCGGCACAGAAAGACTTCGACGAACAGAAGAAAGTGTGCGATGCAACGTGGGCGCAGAAGCTGGAGGAAGAACGAATGAAATGGCGCGAGCAGGTTGTGCCTCCTGCCATCTTCACCCAGCAACAACGTACCGAATCACCAGTGGCGTACAGTCGCAGGCCAAGTGCCCTAGAGCCTGTAGGTTCTCTCACTGACTTGCGATCAAGTCGCCGGTCCTCGACTCTGCCCATGACGTCGCCAGAAGTAGGCACACCAACACGACAGAACTCATTCCCAGCATCTACATCTGGTCTCCTTTCACCTCCAGCAAATAGCGCCTCCTTCTCGCAATTTACGGAGACCCCCTCAATTACTTTCGAACCAGACGAGTTCTCTGCCCGTCCGGGCACGCCATCCGCTTTTGGTGGAGCGCTGACCCAAAACTCCCGGGGAATCAATGACATCATCTCGGAGTCCACTGTTGGCGCCGGTCCATCGGTCCAGTTGGTTGAGCGCATGAGTGCGACGGTTCGCCGATTGGAAAGCGAACGCGCTGCCACAAAAGATGAGCTTGCTCGTATTGTAAGCCAACGCGATGAAGCCCGGCAACAAGTTGTGGATCTGATGCGGGAATCTGAGGAGAAAAAGACAGCCGACGCCCGCATCCAAGAACTAGAGAAGCGACATGCAGAGCTAGAGGAGCGTTACGAGACTACTCTTGAGCTGCTGGGTGAAAAGAGTGAGCAAGTGGAAGAGCTCCAGGCTGATATTGCCGAAGTCAAGAAAATCTACCGAGAGCTGGTGGATAGTACCATGAAATGAAAGCCTATAGACGTCTCTTGAAAGATAATCCTTTTCACTTCTGTACATAGTATTTGCCTGGACGTTCAATACCTCAGACGATGTTATGCGAAACAGGACTTTTCATAAAAGAATATAATATCTCTCCTAATTGCTACTATTAGATCATTATGATGAGCTTCGGAAAGCTCCGAGTATCCATAACCATGTGCCACGTCTCTTAAATTTCTATACCCTCCATTTCTGCAGTTTGCCGGATATATTCTCGAACCTTGACGAAGTTAGCCTCGCAATAGCCAGAGAAATGCGCCTAAAGGTTGTTATACGGAAACGAATGGATTACTTACACTTGCATCCGGCGCCATGTCAATAGCCAAAATACCATTGGCGTCCTTCGTATCGGTTTCAGCACCAGCCTTAAGCAGAGTGATCGCAGCTTCACCGTGGCCCTCGGAGATAGCATGGTGCAGAGCAGTCAGACCGTCCACGTCCGTGGCATTGACGGGGCTTTTCCCATCTTGGAGAAGAACCTTAATGATTGGTGAGGACCCGATAGCTGCGGCGCGATGGAGTGCTAGTTGCCCGCGCTTATCTTTAACTCTGGCGCTGCATTTGTTGGCTATTAAGGTACGAACGGTGGAAAGGCTGGCTTTGGAGGTTGCGAAGTGAAGCGCATTCTGGAGTTGGAGTTACAGTTAGTGACAAAGCTTTGATTGATTGAGATTAGACGGACCTGTCCGGAGTTACTCTTGACATTTACGTCTGCGCCCTTTTTCAAGAGCAGGTCGATGATGGGATCTCCTTCGGCGTTCTTTAGACTGGCTGCGATCATCAATGGGGTCCAGCCTGAACCGTCCTGTGATATCAAGTAAGTGGTTGATCGCAAATAACCCAGGTTACCTCTTTGTTTTTAGTAATCGCAGGATGTAAGAGCAGGAGACTACCTCAACATCTGGATCGAAGTGCTTGGTGGCCACCAATAGCTCCACGATAGGAAGCCGATTGTATGCTACAGCCCAATGAATGGGAAGGCGTTCGTCATCATCTTTGATATTGGCAAGCTTCGGATTTGCCTGTTAGTCCTGAAAGTAAGCATCCAAGATATACTCCGGAAACTGCGATAGCTCTGGCCATAAAATGGAGACAGACAGCTCCAGATGATGCGGGGCAGCACTTACGTTTAGAAGTGACTCGGCCACCTGAGCTGTCAAGTGTTGGTAAGTATCATGACTTAATAGAATACCATATTGCGCTTACTTCTTCCCTCTCGAGCGGCCTCATGTAGAGGAAATTTGGCATCGTGTTGAGGGTCCATGATGTGCTATAGAATTCATAGATGCGGGTCGGTCGGAGAGCTGTCGGATAGCTGCACACGATAAGATCGGAGCTATTGGCGGAGGGCGGAGGGGAAGCTTTGCCATCGACACCTGTTGTGTGCCTTACAGCCTCAGGCAGATATTATGTAGCTCTCCGCCAAAAGTCAAAAAAGGAACCGCAACCAACCCTCCAGACTCGTCATCGCCAGTCTTTCTTTCTCTCCACCAACGATTCTCGCCACCAGCTCGCGTTTATTGTCCAATCACTCAATAATACATCTTGAATGAGGCAGTAAATTGCTGTTATCGCCAACTGACCGTCAGAACCCCTTTGCCCGGGGTTCCAGACGTGAACGACACGTTCTTTTCGCCTACCATCTCGCTTTACACTCCCAATATACGATCTCAGAGTTTCCACGAATATGGACGTTATATCGTCGATTACGCCCGAAGAGGCCGTGCGCAGATCCGCGAAGAGGACTGCTGACCTTTTCGGCGCGGATTATCTTATGGTCACACCCTCGACTGGAGATGGATCGATTGGCGTTTCTTACAGACGGAAAGCGGAATATGAACATGTGAAGGAACTCCCGCCAGTTCTAGCAGAGAAGCAAGCCAAAGCAGCGGCCGGGCGCACGAAGCGTCCCAAAACCCAAGCCCAGGCGAAGGCGCCCGTAGACGGCAGCGGCGCCTCAATGGCCCTCGTGAAGAAAGCTCAAGGCCCGGCTGCTGGTGGCCTTGGTAATGAGGATCAACCCAAGAGCCTGATCCAGCGACCCTCCGCGACGCGACAACAGAGACCCGACTGGCACGCCCCATGGAAACTGATGAGAGTAATTTCTGGACATTTGGGATGGGTGCGAAGTCTGGCGGTGGAGCCAAACAACGAGTGGTTTGCCAGTGGTGCTGGTGACCGGACGATTAAAATTTGGAATCTGGCGACTGGTGCCCTGCGCCTGACCCTTACAGGCCACATTTCCACTGTCCGCGGACTCGCTGTGTCACCCCGGCATCCTTACCTTTTCTCGTGTGGAGAGGACAAGATGGTGAAATGTTGGGATCTGGAGACTAATAAGGTCATTCGTCACTACCATGGCCATCTAAGTGGTGTATATACGCTAGCTCTACACCCTCGCCTCGACCTGCTGGTCACAGGTGGTCGAGACGGTGTTGCCCGAGTCTGGGATATGCGAACGAGGAGTAACATCCACGTATTGTCCGGCCATAAAGGAACTGTTGCCGATGTCAAGTGTCAGGAAGCTGATCCACAAATCATTACTGGCTCTCTGGACTCCACCGTTCGTCTGTGGGATCTTGCAGCTGGAAAGTCAATGGGTGTCCTAACTCACCACAAGAAGGGTGTCCGAAACCTTGCTATCCACCCTCGGGAATTCACATTTGCTAGTGCCAGCACAGGAAGCATCAAGCAATGGAAGTGTCCCGAGGGTGACTTCATGCAAAACTTCGAGGGTCATAATGCTGTCATTAACTCTCTCGCCGTGAACGAAGACAACGTTCTCTTCTCCGGTGGCGACAACGGTTCTATGTCTTTCTGGGACTGGAAGACCGGATACCGTTTCCAGTCGATCGATACCATGGCCCAACCTGGTTCGCTCGATGCCGAGGCAGGCATCATGGCCTCCACTTTCGACCGGACAGGCCTGCGTCTGATTACTGGTGAGGCAGATAAGACCATCAAGGTCTGGAAGCCGGATGATGAGGCTACACCTGAGTCGCACCCTGTGACTTGGGCTCCTACTCTTGGCAGACAGAGATATTAGGTTGGTGTTGTTGTTGGCCGTCTGTCATGTTTATACCCTTCATTGGTCTGGATCTGATATAAGAATCGGGCATGTTCACTTCACGCACTTATGGAGTTTAGCGTTCGAGATGTACTGTTTGTTACCTGTGACTAGTACTGGGGTTTGGTAGGGTTTATAAAAGGATTTCTCTCTTGTTGTATCATATTAAGCTTGAAACATTTCGAAACTTGCTTGATTTACGCTGTTAAACTTGTTTATCTTCGGGGACTTGTAGTGGATAATTCGCTTGACATACAAGTGGGTATCATTATTCGATTAATAAATGACTTTGTAGAATACATGGCCCAAACGACGGGGAAATCGGACACAGAATCGTACATCTGTACATTACCATTCATGAGGTGCAGGAGCTGTTGGTTGGAAAGACCGTCTTGCTCATACAAAAGGCTACTGATCCGTGCCCAGCCCTAACCCCTTGGCTTCTATATCTTCCCGGAACGCAGCCCTTACGTCTTCGGCTGCCACCCTCAGCCTAACTTTACCACTTCTGTCCCCTCTACTAGGGATGGCAGCACTTCCCAGAGGTCCTTTCGTCGCTGGTCCGTGCTCCAGGGCAAGAACTCCAGAGTTCATGAGTTCCATAGCCGCAAAGCCTAAAGCACGCACGCGAGCACCGCTCTCACCACTGAGTAGGTACTCTTTAATACCTGCACCAGCCGCGCCAGCAACTGCGACTGCAGCGTCTGCAATTCGCCTCGCTTCGTCAAGTACGTCGCCAAAGGTTGATTCGGTGATCCCAGTTCTCTTCACACGAGCCAAGAGAGCGGCAAGGAAAAGCTTCGCCGAGAGCGGGAGACAGCGTAGGGATTGCTGTAGCGGGGTTGAGGTTGCTTCTTGGATGGCTTGTTTGATAGTAGCGATAGTGACACGTCCTTGTTTATGTGGCGGTTGAGCTTTTGGAGGGGCGGACTGCTTGTTGGTTGATCTCTCCTTTCTCGCAGGAGTCTTGCTGGGCGTTGGTGGCATAGACTCGGTTTCATCTGCGTTGCCGTCTTCTAGAATAGGTTCCAGTTTAGCTGCCTCGCTGGCCTGTTCGGCAATCTCTACTGCTCGGCGGCAGATGTCTAATGCGCGTCGAGCGTCACCGCTAACAGCAGCCACCTTTCGGCTTGCAAATTGGATGGCGTCTGCATCGACTATGTTTCCTGGGATGTTGGCCAGGCGGGTGCTTATGATCTCCATGAGGTCGGTGTGTTTGTAGCCAGGGAATGTGATACGAGTAAGACCTAGACGGCTGGAAATCTTGTTGCTTAGTGTTCGCTCGGGCAGATCCATAGTGTTTGCGACAGCGAGCACAATGAGGCGGGAGTGGCGAAGGGCAGGCCAGTTAAAGAAATTGTACATCACAGACTGGTTTTTGGTTACCAGCTGGTCAAGTTCATCCATGAGAACAACGCATGAGACACGTCGTGGTGATGGATGTGAGAATTCCCTCTCGAGAAGATCAAGCGCATGGGAAGGAGACACCCTGTCGCCCTTCAAGGCTTCCCAAAGCAATGAGTAGGACTGATGTGGATCGGTGACTTTCATGCCATTAATCTCAACGAAAATGAAGTCGTCCATCTCTTCTGCAAGCACGGCTGCGTTCAACTGTGCGACCACCTCACGGACTGTTGCCGTCTTGCCAGTTCCAGGGGTACCCGAGATATAGATACATGTTCCGGTTCCTTCCATGATGGCAGCGCTTAGATGGTTGTACACGGTGTCGAATTCTGCTTTCCGGCACGGTAATGAGGTAGGGACCGTAGAGACATGTAGGAGAGTCCGTGCCTGGCGATATGGAGAAGCGAAATGGGATGGAGAAAGTATACGAGTGCCCAACGGTGTGAATTCGAGGGGTTTCTTGACAACAATTCTGTTCAATATGCCATTAGCACCAGGATTGCCTATATCTAGTCGGATATATGTAACAAACCTCTTATGTGTGGGGGTAGTCAGAGCTTTTTGACGTCTTGACTGTGGTGTGGCATTCGTGGCTAACTTCTGCCTCTTCCTTGGTGTCACAGGCTGAAAGTCATCATCTTCTTTGTCCTTGGTATCAACATACTGTTTTCGAATGTCAGAATATCTTAATCTTCGAGTAAGGTCGGTTGGATCTCACATCATCATCACCCTGCTTTCGCTTCTTGGCCTTTTTCAGGCCGTCCTTGATCATAGCAATCAGATCGAAGATCTTATCCTCCCGGTAGACATTTTCCCAGACAAATTCCTCGGTGTATCTCCCTTGAACTTGATTCACGCCTCTACGACAGACAATGCATTTGTTGTAGTCTGACAATTGTTCCTTTCCTTTCGGCGGAGCCCCATTCGGGTATTTGGCGAAGAACGCATCCTTGGACATTACCGTCGCTTTACCGTTAATTGATGAAATAGGGTTGACATTGAAGTCGGCGGTCAGATATTGCTCATTAGGCAAAGCGTCTGTTCGTCTCTTGTTCCTTGTCGACATGAATTCGTCTGGCGAAGCAAACCACATGATGTTGGCGGACTTGACTGTCTCACCATCCGCTTCATCCTCTTCCTCGATAAATTCCGTGATGATTCCCACCCAATCTTTGCCTGACTCTGGGGATTTAAGCAACACGACCTGACCCAATTTGCATTCAAACGAACCCATCCGGGCTCCAATAATTGATCGACGGTTCTTTGCGTTGGCCCGGGAGGTGCGCCTTCGGTTTGACCTCGGTGTGTCTTCTGGAGCGTCCGTCACAGCATCCTCCTTGTTCTCAGCAGTATCGGCAGCATATATCCATTCCCACGGAAGGTCCTCATCACCAAGTTCGTCATCAGAATCATCGCGAACAAGACCTCCTTTGGTCATCCATTGCTGGGCCTGCTTGCGCGCACTACGCCTGCGAGACTGCAGAGTATGATTCTCATCTGCAGTGTCTATAGCCATTTTCTTTCGAAGGAATGGGCAAATAGCTGCTGGCGGAAGGGATGGTCTGCGGCAATTGAACAGCAAACAAAAGAAGGTTGAAAATGGATCCACAACGCGTCCAAAAGCGCGCAGTCCACTTTAACCCCTTTCAGGTTTAGCGCCCCATTGCTCTGTCTTCGTCCAATAATAAAGCCTCACTCCGATCTATATAATCTTAGCGTTGATTAAGTATACATAGAACATAACTACAAAGAAGTTTCATCTCCAACGCCTTACAGTTTTAGATCGATAATCAATTTCTTCCATTAATTTGTTTAGAGATACTACTCCATATATTCCTGAGAATAGTGACTTCTAATGGTTTAAACATCATTGAATGCAGTGAGCCACCATCGTTTGGTCTGAGCGCCACCAACTGTTTCAGAGGCAACAGTGCTGTTTTTCAATCATAAACATGCCGGTGAGGTTCTTGGTGCAGGTCACAGGGTCCTCGCCCCGTGACGAGGCACTTTCCATATTCATCATCAGCGTATGTTCTTTCACTTTCACCTTCATTCCCCTATCATCCTCTGAACAAAGGAATGCTCGTCATTTACAACCTGCTGATTTAGATCTATTGACTCAACCTTTCTATCGTAACTTTCTCTCTTCTCTGTTACCTATTACTCACCTAACTCTCATCAGCCTACCCATCGCCTCTGCTCGCCGTTTGCAGCTATCTCTGTCGGAGAGCTTCAACTCTGTTGCGAGCTTCTCCTTGATAAAAGACATGGAGTGAGTTCTCTATTTCAGTTCATCTCTTTACCTCTCACCTGAGACAACTGTTTCCCTCCTCCCGTCTATTCTTTGTATGCTAACACCGTTGCAGTCACGAAACCGCGGGAGCTAAAGGTAAGACACATCTCTATCAGTAAGAAACAAGAGACAATTCATGTCCCTTGCTACCCCAGGCTCTTTTGAAATTGTTCATTGACCAGTAAATGCGCCATATAGAATGGTTGCTACCTGGTTACGGGCGGCCCACATCGAAAAGCCGTGGAGAAACTACTCGAACAGTGGCTGATCAGGCTCGCATAACATTGTCCAAAGATAGTATCCGAAAAGAGATAGAGACACAGAATCCACAGTCTTCATATGCCGCAGTTACCGCAGCTCCTGTAGCCAACAGCATTGGGCGAGGTAGAGGTGCATCGAGGGCAACAAGGGCAACAAGGGGGCGCGTGCAGGCTAGACGGGCATACTCCAACACCGCAGCCTCACGCCAATCCAGCAATCTTCTCCGCGACTCACCTGCTAAATCAAATTGGAGAGCTGGTAGTGAACCTTCCGGTAGGCTCTCTCTAGTTTCGGATGCCAATATGCTAACACTACCTTGGGTAACACTGAAGCGATTTTCAACTTGCCTACCTCTTTTGGCAGTTTCAAGTACGAGTAAGCACCTTCAGATCGCTTTCGTCCTTGAAAAAATGCTCATTATTATACGGCATATAGGTTCTTCGGAGTAGCAAGATCGACACTTTCAGGAAAGTCCCCTGCAGCCACCCAAGGTCGTCATGAAGTCTTCGAGGAAATTAGCAGGAGAACGGGCGCGTATGTGAAACCTCCATCTTATACTGACAAGGTAAGCCATTTCGTAGTCAAATATCAATGAACGGTAGTGTGCTCATTCACTCCAGGTCATTCAGCTATGGGGTAAACCACAAGACGTGGCTTTGGCCATAGAAATGATTGAAAGGCTTCTTGCCAAATGCAATAGTTTTGCAGCCGCACATAAAAGGACGGAATGGGCTAAAATCAATGCCTATTCCGCAAACAAAGAAATGGGTGTTGATTTCAAGGAAAGACGTGAGAATATACTGCTGTTTCTGAGGAAGGAACCGGAATCGCCTTCAGCTTTTCCCGAGCAGGTCAGTATATCAAGGTATAAACTTTTCTTTTTTTTTTCTAACAGATCCGTCATCCAAGCTTTTTTTCTTGTGGCCGAACGATGGTCCACCGATCAAGGAATCTCTTGGAAAACAACTCGAGGCCCTTGATATCATTCGGGCGAAATTTGGCTGTCACCTCTACCTTCCAAAGAATGCCCCGGACTATATATGTGCTCTTGGTCATAGCCATGATACGATGAGGCAGATCGCACAGCTTCTTAGGACCAAGTGGAGTGAGACCGTTGCCAATAGCCACGTTAGGTCGAAAGCCTACATTTTAGAGCCACCAGAAACCCTGAGAGACAAGATTGTCGTGGAGAATAATACTCTCTTTGCGAAAGCCTTTCTCCATGGAAAGAGGGTGAAGAGCCTTTCGCCAGAGCAGTGGCAGAATCGACGTACTTTGATACAGACAAAGAACAACACACACATCTTGAGCGCCCTTTCAAAATCCTTGCAAGGTGTCTCCTTTGTCCGTGGACACTTGCGTATGCGTGTTAACCTTGGTTCATTTGTGCTTGATGAGTATCACATGCCCAAGAACGACAAAGTTGGGTATAGTTTTGAGGAGTTTAGAGAGATGCTATTGCATGAGCAAACGAAAGGCCGTCTGATTCCAGGGTATGGACTCCTTATTATTTATTCATCCTAGTTTTTAATACCTTATAAATAGATTACGGGTCGGTCAAGATGAGCTCCTGGCTAGATGTTTCATGTCTACCGATCTTCTCGAGCCTTACGAAAGTACATCCTGTTCGCTGAAAAATGCTGAGCCTGCATATTCCGTGAACTTCGAATTCCTAGGTTCGAATAATGCTCTACTTCGTCTCGAAGCTGAATTTGCTAGAAGCCCCGGGGCGCAGGAATATGAAGTAACTCAACGCCGATGGCTTAGGCCTCGCAAAAGCGGCCAGTCAAGGGACAGGAGGCCACCCCTACAGATTGGTGTTATTGATTTCGAAAGGTAGGTAAATTCGTATCTTTCGTCATTTAGGTCTGACTGAATCCTTGTTAGAGCCGACTGGCAACTTGAAATCAAATCCCTAGAGTTCTATGAGACATCCTCCATCGATGCTGCATTGAAATCGTTTTCGCACTCGATCGGCTTCCGACGCACTACAACCATAGGTGACATTTCTGCACAGCCCAAGAGAAAAGTGATCTTTCCGAGTTCAGCACCGGTATCCAGATTTGTGGAAAAAACCTCCATCCGGTACCGACTGAAAGGCACCAAGTACATATTAGAGATAGCGAGGTACGATGAATACAGCCGCTTAAAGACGGATGCTTTTCAGGGACAAGCACTAGCACCAGCTTTAGTGACGGGTGAGATCTGCGATGTCCCATCCACGTCCTGGGGCGCATCTATATTCAATTCCAACTGGGATAACTTGATGGGAGAGCAAGCGAACCTGTCAGTTGGGCATTCCGCACGGCACAGCCCAGAGCTTCACACTTTCTTCCCGCCAAGAATGATATCCAATTCGGATGACAAGAGCGAGGGCTTCTGGGAGTTTATTGGTTTAGTGAAACGAGTGGCGGAAGTTCTAGGCCCAGCACAGCCCCGTTCCAGCTCAGAGAATACTGCCAGGATAATACAGGTGAGCACCGAGTCCTCGATGATTTCTGCTGCAACCAAAAGCCAGCCACCTTCAAATGGATCCTCGCCCAAACTTGAGGTGAAGGGCCTTGCTGGGATGTTGGATGCCGACCTTGGCACTCTATTCTAGACATATCAAGTTAATCTTTATGAGAGCGACTGGTTGTTAACTCATAGATGCGACCGACAGACCGACAATATCATGGCTCAAAGTCTAGGTGCAAGGCCATCTTGCTTTTGCTTCGTTGTGATCTTCCCTTCATTGTGCGGGATTTATGTCTCGTCGAATATGTGTTTTAACGTGTCTTACATTTCTGCAAAAGCCTTGGAAGCGTGCGATGTTTCTCAGCTGGCAAAGCAGGAGCTTACATACGAAACGGTTGATGATTTGCCATTGCCAACACTTACTGTAACAAATACCATTCCTTTATTATTTCTGTTGACTATTTTGCCCTGACCGATCACTGGATGATCGGACGCCTCTGCAAGCATCTGACAGGTTTTAACCACCACCCGCAGCGGCAGCACCAGATGATTGAGTGCCTTCGCTAAGCAATTTTTGTCTCAGAGCTGGTAATAGTTAGCTTACGGTACGCATTCGCAGGCTGAGTGCGGGACAGTTAGAGAATGATATGGCATTATATTCGACTTACCCTCCTCGAAGAGTCTTTGCTGGGAGCTCTTCGTCTGTACAATCTTTTCCAACTCTGTGAGATTCGTCTCTAGACTCTTAATTTTGTCCTCATAGAACTCAATCGCCTTTTTCGCGGTCTGCCCAGAGATAGGCCATCAGCTTTCAAATCAACCCTCAGGGTAGGGGACATAGACTCACCTTCTCAACATAGAATCCCGTTCCAACATCCACAAGCACCTTCTCCCGATCGGCCAGCTTACCCTTGACATACAACGAGCTCGTCAAAGGCACCAAGATGTCATCCCTGCCATCCGTCCCCCTCTTCTCAGATCCAACAACACCTTCATTAATCGACCGCACACAATCCCTAAACTTCGACTGCGCCGCGCGCAACTTAGCATGCGACGACGTCAAATGCTCCAATTCCGACGAAAGACGAGTCTGCAGCGCCCGAAGTTGCGGCACAGAAAGCGAGTTGATGTTAACTACCCATTCACTCAGATTAGCTATCCATCCCCGCAGATCTAACCAGCCATATCTGAGAAGTTCGCCATACCTGAGCCCGCAGGAGCATCTGATGCGGGGGTATTTTGAGGGGCCATTTTGATTTATGCAATGGCGCTTTCGTTCACTTTTCCGTTCCCTTGTTTTTGGATGATATTGCGTAAGTCCGAGCTATGTGTATGCGGAAAAGTGGACTTTGGTTGAATGTTAACGGTGCGAGGAATTGGGTTGTTTTCCTCGTCCGTTGGTTGATATCGTTTGGATTTGGGATTGATTATGCCCGCCGCGGCGGGCAGTGGGTTGCTTGCTTTTTTGGGTATGGTCGTTGATCGGATTATGTAATTATGTGGAGTTTTGCTGTGTCGATTAGTCAGGTTTGTGCTTTTTATGCTTAGTTTGAACCAACTAGAAGTGGGTAGGATTGCAAGAGGATTTTATGTTTTCTTTCTTTCTTCCTTTCTTTATCTAATGGTCAAAGTGGTCGAGGTGTGAGTTTGATTCTATTTTAGTTAGACTATCTGGTTTACTGAGGGAAATGCCCGAGAAGGTGCCCTATGCCTTCTAGGTTGGTGTGTTCGATGTGGTGGAATATATATCCATTTGATAGTCACAAGGGATAGCTCCATGATTATTGAGGATGGATTTATTATATTACCTTTTATGGTTCAGTTTATTAGAATTGACTCAAGAGAATGACAACGTATTCATAGTCCATACTAAAAGTGATAGCAAGCGTAGAGGTACAAAGTTGTTGAAGGAAGTAAGCAGAAACAATTCGTCGTAATTGGAAGCATATCGTCGTACTTCATGGCACAGATCAAAAAGGAAGAAAAAAAAATCATGGACTGGTTTCCAACTGGCGTCGAAAAGCATAGCGTATGTCATTCAATCTGCCTTGGCTCCTCAATTACAGCATTCATCGAGCGAGTGATGAGCAGACAGAAGATCGAACGCAGAAACGACCACAGGCTTCTTGTTCTCATTTCTCAGTATCGCGTTATACGCCTCCAGTGGATGAAGCTTTGCTCGTTGCCGGAACAAGTTCATCGTGGGGAGGAACAGTTTCTCCCCTTCAAACTCAGAGACCCTGTCCGCTTTCTCAGCAGCATCTTGTGCCTCATAAAGCTCCTTGACATCTTCCCAGGTGAACCACTTCCATCCATCGCATTTATGCGGTTCCTTAAGCTATAGAAGATTGGGCTGTTAGTGCAGAAACCAGAAGTATATTAGTGACCCGGGTTGAGACTTACCACAGCGTTACCTGCGCCACCCTCAAGTTTGGCCGCAAAGAAGTTGGTAGTGTAGTGCTTCTTCTCTTTCTCCTCCTTGAAGACATCGTTTGTAACAGTGAGAAACTCGACATCGGAGATATTGAAGCCCGTCTCTTCGTGAATTTCGCGCTCTGCGCAAGCCTCGAGGCTTTCTTCGAAATCTATGTGGCCTCCAGGGAGACCCCAGGTACCTGGGAACATTAGTATGTTTTACCAATATATATATATATAGAAGCTTAGATGGAGGGCATAGAGGATATCTCAATGTGGAAGGCTTGGGGGAGAGGGAGAGGAAGAAGTATACCCTCGCCATGGCTGCCTTTTCTGAGTCCCATCACGAATTGACCATTTTTATTAAAGACGAAGACATTCACTCCGGTTCTGACGACTTTTTTGCCATTCTTATCCATTGGGATTCGAAGTTATGAACCAAGAATATCGGTGATTTGTTTGGATGGAGTGTAAAAGTGGAGGTCCTATGAAAAGAAGGAATGTGCAAGTACTGCGCTGTGTAGAGCAACTGTTGAAATAAGAGAGGAATGGAGGTTTCTTTTATATTGTATAGAAAAGTTGTAGTTATAGGACAGGTTACTAAGCCCAGGGCTGTGAGATTACCTACCAATCAGAGCATCGTCACTGCCCCTTTCATGTACTAGTAGTACGACATCCGTGGATACTAATGACTGAACTTGATCTTTTGTATGATTTTCGACATGGGTACTCCCTACCTTGAATGAGCCTCAGCCGTGCCAAGGCGCACTCTGACACGGTATGCTTTGTTTCACAATGAGGTGTGCTACTAATATAAAATTAGGAGAGCACTCCGAGAGTAGTACATTGGTGGGCAAACCAGGGTGTTTTACCGTGAAACTGGCCTTGGGGGATTACGAGTTTAGAGGCCTGATGACCCATATTTAGAAGGCTGAAAAGTGGCGAAAGCACTTTGCCTTCTGAAGTTCCCAGCTGACCAGGTGGCAACTACCCCCATTATACCCGTTATCTCTAGGCTGGATGGCAATGCATCGCTGCCTTCTCTCTGTGGTCCATGATTTGATGTGAATAGAGGTGGATAAGAGAGGAATATTGTACAATTTGATCATCTGTATAATACAATCCCAGAAGCACTAACTTTACAGGCGCTCGAGTAAGGACCGAGTGAATGTCGAGAGCTGCTCTAGCGGCACATTCTCCCGTAGGTTGTCCAGCTGACGGCACTGCACTTCTAATGTTTGCTCCTTCTTCCACCCTTTACCGACCACAACAATGATGGGGTACCCGATCAGGTCGGCGTCTCCCAATTTCCACCCCATTTGCTTGTCTCGGTCGTCGAGGATGACGTCGACTGGGGATACTGGGTCTGAAGTAAGTGTGTCATATATCTTTTCGGCTTCTTCCTCTAAGCCCTTCGCAGGGACAACAATGACCTCAAAAGGAGCCACTGCGCGGGGCCAGTTGAGGCCCTTGGAGTCCGCTAGACTGTCAGCGACCGCCGTGATCATACGTGAGACACCGATTCCATGACATCCCATTTGCATGGGTACGATCTGGTTTTCCGAGTTGCCAGATGAGGATTGGTCCACCATGACAGACGCTTGTAGAACTTCACTGTATCTGGTGCCGAGATGGAAGGTGTGGCCCAGTTCGATCGCGATGTGGGTCTTCACACGACCTTGAGCGCACTTGGCACACTTGTCACCATCCTGAACCTTGACAAGGCTGAGGCCATTGTTTGTTCCAGGGAATCGATCCAGCATAGAGTAGTCAATGTCTTCCACCTTGCAGCTTGCTTGATCCAGCAAGTCACTCAGCGGTGGACGTTTGTACACCCGCACCTGCGAGTCATACATGTCCACTACACGGCAAGGGCCGGATGCCTTGTTAGACTTAGACTTTGCTTCAGCAGCCCACTGTTCTAATGGATTTTCTACGCTGAGGTCAAGATCGATGCCTGCAGCATTAGCTACAGACTTGACAGCGTGAGAGTTCACTTCTCTTTCCACTGGCTCCTGGGTTTCGCCTTGCATGGAGAATTTAGGATACCACCCTCTCAGTAGTGTTCGCTTGTCCTTGGAAATCGACATCCAGAGACCTGTAGAAATGGTTGGTGCTGCTTCGGGGGACATATCTCCAGTGTCAAACCCAGGGCTGGCCTGGTGGCTTTCATTGTCTCCGAATTCATGGATCTTTCCGTCTGCAAGCTCATCATTATAAACAGTGTCACAGCTAGTACAGCTGATGACCGTATCTTCTCCTTTGGAGCTGGGGACATGGAATTCGTGGCTTAGGTTGCCGCCCATATTGCCAGAATCTGCAGCAGCAACCAAATATGGTATCTTCAAGTCGTTGAACAGTCGTGTATAAGCGGCTTTCACAGAGGTATATGTTTTCAAAGCTTCTTCCACAGTGCAGTCGAACGTGTAGAGATCCTTCATGATGAACTCTCGCCCACGAAGTAGACCTTGTCTTGGTCTTGGTTCATCACGGTATTTCCTCGCTACATTGAGAAATGTCAGCGGAAAAAGCGTCAATTACTACATGTAAACTTACAGATTTGGTATACTCGTAGAGGTAGATCTCTGTACGACTTGGCGAGACTGCCCACTAGAGTGGTGATTTCCTCCTCATGAGTAGGGGCAAGAAGGAAGCGAGATTCCTTTCTGTCATGGAATCTGAACACCTAACATACCCTGTCAGAGGCTTCTTGCAAGAGACCGGAGATACCACTGTACCTCTGAACCCTCTCCTAAGCGTCCTGACCTCTCCCAGAGTTCTTGGGCAGATATGGACGACAGTGAAACTTTTGACGCTCCTATAGTCACATTCAGAAGACTGTACGTCTAGCGCAAGAAGTATAATGGGCATACCAACTGAACGCATATGCTTATCAATCAGACGCTCCAGCTTGTCTTGCACGCGCAATCCTAGCGGTAACATATGAAATATCCCCGAATAAGCCTATACAAAGTTAGAATTGGCTATGCTATAAAGGGGGGTCCACTACCTGTCGGAGAAAGCCTCCCCGAACTAAGAGGTCATTCACGTCCTCTAACCCTTTGTCAATTGCTGTCATCAGAGTAAATTAATTGCATGTAGAAGTACCTTTTTCACCCTGGACATTTTTCTTTGAGATGCCTCCCGTTGGAATCCAGAAGTTAGACACCCGAGTTCGGCCATCCGTCTGTCATTATTAGCGAATAAGTCTTGCGGCAAGTAGATGCGCAATGTCCTACATGGAAACTGCATCTTGGAGCTCTATACAATGGCAAGACTCCACAGTATGCTCTATATGCGACGGAATAGCGGCCCGGGATCGGGCGAAAACCGGATATCATGAATTATAGAGTGTTGTGATTGACAATCCTTCTAAGTCTTTAAATAGGGAAATTTATTCAGAATAATGAACAGAAGGTAGCGTTTATCTCCAATATTATGGATATGATTAGTTGGAGATCTAAATAAAACGTCCGCATTGCAGGCTTTAGTTGGCCCGTGCACTGGGACGCCGACCAACGGTGAAACCGTTTCTCCGGCGGCCTCGAGGGTCTCCATAATTTTTTTGGGTTTTCGGGCGGCAGAAAAAAAACGTAGGATAAAACCATTCCAACGATACTGTGTTTTGGCCAGGAAATTGTCCCACCATGGCCAAAGGAAAGGGGAAGCGCTCCTCTGGAGCGACTGCTGCTGTCACAGAAGGAGGGGCGAATGACTCCAATGCTGGTGCGGATACTGTCCCTCAATTTGAGGAGAGTGCGTTTGCCGGCTTGCGCCAGAAGATCGAACAGAGATTGAAAGACCAGAACGCTGCTAAACAAAAGTCAAAGAATAATAAGAAGGCTGCTTCCAACGATACCCCGAAAAAGAACAACGAAGCTACACCCAAGCCCGACACAAAGCGAACCGATACCGACAAGAACAACAAGGGCAAGAAGCGGGACCGCAATGGCGAAGTGATCGCAAGGGAAGACAAGAACACCTTCAGCAAGGACAAGTTGTCGAAACCCAAGGAAGCGGAGCAGACCGATGCTCTGCGACAGGAGATTTTGGCCCTTGGGGGTACCGAGGAAGACTATGACATGCTTGCCGGAGTTGACTCTGAGTCTGAAGTCGAAGATGCTAAGAACACTTCCAAGGGTTCCGGGAGCAAATCTGAGGAGGATGCACTGAGAAAGGAGCTGTCGGGCATTTTGGCTGCTGCTGGTCAAGTGGTTCCCGATGATATTGCCGAAGACGAGGAAGATGAGGTGGGGCAAGAAGAGGAGGAAGAGGAAGAGGAAGTAGAAGAGGAAGACGTGGAAGATGACGAGGCCGATATTGACGTTGGGGATGATAATGACAGTGAGGAGGACCAAGAAAGCTCCGATGAGGATGTTCCTCCCGCCCCAGCTGCGAAGGAGACGAAAAAAGAGAAGGCTAAGCAATTTGCGGAGCCTCCTCTTCCTAAGGAATACAGCAAACTTGTGAGTTTATCACTGTTTTGCTAGCAGATGTCATTCTAACCAGACAATAGGCCGTCCCACCCAGATCCGACTGGTTCATGACCGAACTTCCTTCGATCTCCGCGAAACATGCGAACGCCTTGCCCCGACATCTGGTTGATCGTGTTTATAACTACGCTGTATCCCTGCTCGAGGAAGAATCCAACATGTATGCTGAAGCGCAGAAAACGTTGGCCTCCTCTTCTCACAAATTCTACACGACCATTATGTCCACCGGTACTCTTAGTGATAAGATTTCGGCGTTGACACTTGCGATACAGGAGTCGCCTGTGCATAACACTAAATCCCTGGAAAACCTTCTCGCTCTGGGGAAGAAGCGCAGCCGTGCGCAGGCGGTGGAAGTTCTGAGGACTCTTAAAGATATGTTTGCCCAGGGCACGTTACTTCCGAATGACCGTAGGCTTAGGTCTTTCGCGAATCAACCATCGCTCATGGCTGCATTCCAGGGGGCAGGAAGCAAGTGGTCTGAAGGAGATGCCCTCCCTAATGGTCTTCAGAAGCGCCACCTTATCGTTTGGGCATTTGAGCACTTCCTGAAGGAACAATATTTCGAGGTCCTCAAAATCTTAGAAGTATGGTGCAATGACGAGATTGAGTTCTCTCGTTCCAGGGCCGTGAGCTACGTCTACGAGCTGCTCAAGGAAAAACCCGAGCAGGAAACAAATCTTTTGCGACTATTAGTTAATAAACTTGGCGATACTGCTAAGAAGATCGCTTCTCGGGCTTCCTACCTTTTGCTACAACTTGAGCAAGCACACCCATTGATGAAACCAACAATCATCAAGGCTGTCGAGGAGGTTCTTTTCCGTCCAGGTCAGAGTCAGCACGCCAAATATTACGCCATTATCACCTTGAACCAAACTGTTCTGAGTACAAAAGAGGAGCAAGTTGCGGCCCAACTTCTTGACATCTATTTCGCGCTCTTTGTTGCCTTCTTGAAGCCCACCAAGAACAAGTTCCAGTCTGGTAAAAAGCATGGCAAGAACGGTAAGCTCAACAGAAAGGCCCAGAAGGCCCAGAAGGAGGCGGAGAAGGGTCAGGCTCAGCATGAGGAAATGCAAGAAAAACTCACTTCTGGCGTTTTGACCGGTGTGAATCGAGCTTATCCTTTCACCAACTCTGACTCGGAACGGTATGTAGTTTCCTTTCAGTCTTTAGGGCGGTTATAGCTAATCCATGCACAGACTTTCCAAGCACGTCGATACCTTGTTCCGCATCACTCACTCTTCGAACTTCAACACTAGTATTCAAGCCCTTATGTTGATCCAGCAACTGACATCTTCCCACCAAATTGCTGCTGATCGTTTCTACCGAACATTATACGAATCTCTTCTGGACCCACGACTGGCCACGTCTTCGAAGCAGGCACTCTATCTTAACCTATTGTTCAAGGCTTTGAAGAACGACGTGAACGCTCGACGTGTAAAGGCATTCGTGAAACGTATTATTCAGGTGCTTGGTCTGCACCAGCCGGCCTTCA